AAATCAATTGCACATAAGCGCAGACTTCAGGAATAAAGAGGTATATATTATGTAATGAATTTTAAGAAAAACTAATAATGTCTCCCTACTAATCCTTCCTAATCCTGTTCCTTAGTGCGCGTTGCCACGGCGGCTGTTCATAACGAGCATACGATGACACAGAAAGGGGCCAATAAAGGGAGTCACACCCAGATACACAGAGGCTTCCAATCTTCGATATAATGATTAATGAACAATAATGGCACCTTAAGAAATCTTTCATAATACATACGGAGAGGACAAAAGCAGAAACGTGTGAATCCACATAAGAATTATGAATGGACACTTCTGCTACTGCCAATGAATATGTTCGGTTATGTCTCTACTGGGGATTAAGGAAGATTTATGATTCTTTCCGAAGAAATTGGCTCCTTCCGGGGTGATTAAGAATGAGACAGAGGTTTTGGAATTTGGGGTGGGTAATATTTTGTTCTATTATAATATCCTTCCATAATGGCTCTAGGCACACAGAAGATGCACAATTCATACTATATCTTTCTAAATAAAGGATCAGCGGACTTTTCAACAGGCTCTCAACATAATACCATTGTTAATATGTATTCCCTTTCAATATAACCATAGGCGACAATGACATGAAGGTTCCGTAGGTGACTGCCTGATTTCTGCTGTATGGGTTCTGGTCACGCTGTTGGTTGTTTCGCCCGTTAGGTATGTAGCAGAGATTCCAGAAGTTTTTATCCCCAGGACAAGCCTTGACTCCTCCGACATGGTTATGCATCCATTGTAATCTCTTATTGATGAAGTCATTTTGCTTAGGAGTACTGCACACCCCTTGTTCGACTGTTTTATATTCGAATTTTATCCCTGCACACGGTTTATTGAGATTTAAGACGGCTTTTACCTTCCTCAATTTAATTAACTGTTTCTATTTCATTAATTCAATTCTTCTTTCTGTATTTTCCGCTTCTTCTAATTCCATGGTTTCCTTGAATTCCTCTCAATTTACCTTTTTCTTAAATCTTTGTATTTCAAATATTTCTTCATGTTTTCCCGACTTTATGTTTC